GGGGGGGGGGGCAGAGCTTCGGGCACTGTCAGGGTCCTGATGTGCCTGTTTCTCTCTGAGGTGTGGTGGACAGTGAGGACATCCCCCTGAACCTCAGCCGGGAGCTCCTCCAGGAAAGCGCTCTAATCAGGTAAGACTCTGGGAGCCGGCACCTGCTGAGACGAGGCCCTCACTGGCTCTCCTTTGCCACCAGAGGGCCAGAGTGGCTGAGGGAGTGAGAGCAGAGTGAGGAGCTACTGTGTTGAGGCCATGGGTAAGGGGCCATGTGCCTGGAGAATGCATGTAGATCACAGGTGCTTTGCCTGATGTTTTGTTTCATGTTTTCATAAAAAGGGTTGGGGGCCTGACCCACTGAGGAAAATAATGGCTGTGCTGGGGTTGGGGTATGTTCCCTCCCTTAACCAGCTCCCATTACCCAAACCCAGGGTGGCCACCGCTGGAGAGATTCCAGGCAGTCTGTCTCTGGTGTGGATGAGGCAAAAGACAACCACCGAGCCAGGAATACATCTGACCTTGGTCCCAGAAGGTCACTGATGTTGTGAAGAAGGCAAGGGCCGGGCCTCAGACCAGACCCTTCTTTGGAGTTGTTGCTCTTGGAATCCCCGGGGGCTGAGATGGCTGCGGTTGTCATGTCCCCATCCTGATTGTAGCAATAGCTACTGTTACTGAGAGTTCATTCTCACCCAGAACTGGAAACTGAGTCACGGAGAGGTCACACCAGTCACTGAGGGAACCTGTATTTGAACTCACGTTTTCTGTCCACAGGCATTGCTCTGTCCCCAACAGTGGAGCTGGACTGACCCAAGGCTGCAGACAGGGCATGTCCAGCCCCTTTTTGCTGCCTGTGGTTCTCAAGGGCTAGATTGTCAGTCTGAGACTCACCTTGATAAGAAAAGAATCAGCCATAAATAAAATGTTTGAAAGAATCATAAACTTACAAAAAAGGTGGAAACATGATACAAAGGACATTATCCCCCCTGTACCCTTTGAGAGTAAGGTGTCTGCCCTATACCCCATCTTCCCCAAATATCTTAGGGTGTATTTCCAGTGAACAGGGACGTTCTCCCCTGGCCGCAGTACAGCCTCCAGTGAGGGAGTTGGCTGGTGTGGCAGCACCGCCCTCTGACCTTCGGACCCATTCACTTCCCGCCATTTGTGTCGTCCTGTTGTTCTTTGGAACAAGAGGGTGTAGTCCAGAGTCACCCTGCCTTTAGTTTCTCTAGCTTCCTTCAGGCCGGCCGAGTTCCGCAGTCTTTCCCTGACTTTTGTGACCCGGGTGCTTCTGAAGGTTTTAGGCCAGTGACTTTGTGGACTGCCCCTTGTTGTGGGTTGTCGATGCAGGAACAGCATGAAATGACTGCATCCTGTCGGGTGGAGCCTGACTTTGACGTGCCCCGTACTGGTGATTTACGTGTGGACACTGATGAGGGGGTACCGGTCTCCTCTGTGTGAGGGTCTTTGTCGCCTTTGTAATCAATACATCACATTTCGGGGTAGTATTTTGCAGCTTTGTGAAGAGCATGTTGCTTTATCAAATTTTCAGTATATTTATTATATCTGTTTTCTAATATCCATAATTTGCTTGTATGGACTGATTTCCTGCTTTATTTATTGGGTTATAATCTGTTAGTGTCATGTATTTTGATGCCCACACAGTTTCCGATTTGGCAGTGGGAGCCCACTCGGGCCAACTGCTGAGCTCTTCCTCATGTCTCCGCCCCGTTTGGAGCACTTCCTAGCTTCTGGCACAAGGTGTTTCAAGCTCACCTGTGTTTTGCCCACATCATTTCCTAGCCCTGGAATTGCTCATTCCTCCAAGGAGCCTGGATTCATTTGAATGGAGAGTGGTATTAAGAGGTCTGGGCCCTGGGGATGCCATTGCTGTTGGGCTATCACTTCTCTCAGGCCTTCCTAGTAGACAGAGCTGAGGAATGTGAGTTTGTGTGTATTTATGTGTACGTCCGCATCTCTACTGGTTTCTGTATCTGCTGAGTTCACCTGGCACCACTGGACTTCCTAGGCTGCTGCTTCCCTGTTTGCTCCCTTTGATGATGAGAAGTCTGCCTCTCATTCCTGTGGTACCTTTGGCCAGTCCCTCTCCATGTAATAGGTCTGCCATCACCGTGGCGCTCCCCTGACATGGGCACCCCCTTCACCTGCTTGGGCTCCAACTCTACACAGGGGACTGCCCACTACCCCCCAGCCCGGACACCCTCCTCTGGGGTCCTTGGGCCTGGACACTCCATGCCAGGCTCCCCCTACCTCCACCATGTAGGGACATTCTCCTGGACCTCTGTCCTGTCCTGTCCTAGCTGCTGTGGCTCCCCTGCCACAATTTTGGGTGCTGCCCTGTGGCTGAAGAACTGAGTCATTCAGGATGTGAGTAAAAGAGGAAAAGCTTAAATGAATGTTAAACATTACTGCTCCCCTACCCTGGATTATTAAAGAAATACATGGTAATTTCAGTTTGTTTTTTTTTAAGGAAAGGCAAAATATTAAGAAGAAAATAAAAATACATTAATTCCACTAATAAAGTAGCTCATAATTTTAAAAATTTTTAAGTGGTTCTTTATTTTTACTTTTTACATTGAACATAATTGTTTACTAACATTTTTAAATTTCAATTTTATTAGAGGTATAATTGACATAAAATTATAAGATATTTAAAGTGTACATCATGGTGATTTGATGTATGTATACATTGTGAAAGGATTCCAAGTTGCTTATAATTTTATGCCATTAAATAATGCTGCAGTTAACACCCTGACCCACAAAGTCCCAATTTTGTAAAATTGTAGTTTGTAGCTATAGTGTCTATATTGTATTTGTAGTATTGACCCTAATTATGCAAAACTATGATGTATAGAGAGTAGCATAGTTTTGCAGATGTGTGCATATACATACACTGTGACTTGTCCATATTGAGATTTTTCTGGGTTTTTTTTCTTTTAACACAGGTCCTTTTTCATGTCATTAAGGGTCATTAGAGGATGTGCTTTTTTTAAAAAAAATGTTTTCATTGATTTTTTTTAGAGAGAGGGGAACATCTATATAAGAGCAGAACATCAATTGGCTGCCTCCTACATGCCCCCTACTGGGGACCAAGCCAACAGCCTTTCGTGTAGGGACGACACCCAGCCAACTGAGCCACACCAGCCAGGGCTAGGATGTGATTTTTAATGACTGCACTTTTCCATCTTTCATTTTAGTCTACTCTCTCCTGTTGAACACTGAGATTGTTCATAATTGTTTTCCCTTTGATGTGCTGTAGTGAGACTTCTGCTCCATCAGTCTTGGTGACTCATTATAATTTCCAGGGTATAATCTCTACGGTTGGAACCATCAAGGCTGGGCTGTTTGTTGCCCTCCACAAAGGGCTGTCAGTCCACATTCCTACCTCTAGGAGGCGCATGTCTTCCTACCTGGTGTTTGCAAAGGGTACCCTTTCTTTTTGTGTTTTTTAAAATTTGGCCAGAATGGTATGTTGTTTACACTTCTTTGATTTATTAGTGGAACAGAACACTTTTTTCATAGCCTCTGGCTGTTAGTATTTCATAAAAATTGCTTGTTCATAATAAATGCATTTCTGTGCTGTAGGAAACTCCGGGACGTTCTACAACAGAGGCTAATAAAATTCTTCGTTGACCAGAGTAAAAAAGATGCTGAGACATATGCCAAGTTCTTTGAAGATTATGGCCTGTTCATGAGAGAGGGCATTGTGACCACTGCTGAACAGGAGGTCAAGGTAGGGTCTAGGTTTCCGGACTTTTCTCTGTGCTGCCTTGGGCTGTGGAGGAAGCCGGTGGAGGCCAGAAACCTGAGCTTCCCAGGATATGACAGTGACATATCTGAGCATCCCAGCTACTGCTGCCTAGGGGCCAGTAAGCGCAAAACGTGGCCTCAGGACTTCTGCTAGTGGTTGCAGTAGGCCCAGCATTGTGCGGGAGTATCCTTACCCTTCATCCTGTGGAATGAGACTCACCTCCCTCAGTTCCCTCACCTGAAGTGGGAAGGAAGTAGGCGTGTACTCTGTCTCCTCCCACTAGTGTTCAGCTGGCTCAGGAGATCACAAAAACAGGGCCAGGGCCGGGTACTGTCCACCAGGATGAGGAAGGGCGGAGACAGTGTGTAGTGAGGTCATGCTCATTGTGTGATTGGTGTAACTCCTTCAACATGGTGCCACTGGGCCACAGTTCAGTTCATCAGGCAGCATTACTTAAAAATGATACGATCATTCGATAAACATTTTTTGGTCTTTTTTTTAATCCTCAATATGTTTTTATTGATTTGAGAGAGAGAGAAAGGGAGAGAGGGAGGGAGAGAGAAACCTGGATTGGTTGCCTCCTGCGCACTTCCTGACCAGGGATTGAACCTGGAACCTAGGTATGTTCCCTGACCGGGAATTGAACCTGCCACCTTTTGGTGCACAGGATCTCACTCCAACCAATTGAGCCACACTGGCCAGGGCTATTTTATTTATTTCTTAATCCTCATCTGAGGATATTTTTTTCCATTGATTTTCAGAGTGGAAGGGAGGGTGGAGGGAGAGAGAGAGGAGAGAGAAACATTGATGGAGAGAGACACATCGATTGGTTGGCTCCCACATGCTTCCCAACCAAGGCCAAGGATTGAACCTGCAACCCTTTGGTATTCAGGTGGACATGAACCACTGAGCAACACCAGCCACAGTGAGGGCTGACCATTTTTCAACTGCGATATAATTTGCATAGTAAAATTCACCCTGTTAAAGTGAATAATTCAGTGACACTTGGTACATTCACAAGGTTGTAAACATCACTGATACATCGTTCCAGAACATTTTCATCACCCCAGAAAGACACCCATCCCCATTAAGTAGTCAGTTCCAGTGTTGGGGTTTCATCTTTTGCTCCAGAACAGCAGCATGGAAGGAAGGTTCCCAAGGGGTTGTTCAGGATGTAGGGGAGTGTGGGACTAGAGTGCCGCCAGGCAGTCTGAGGTTCCCACTCTGCTTCCTCCCTGGACCCTCCTCATTTCTGGTGCTCAGCAAACTCATACTGCTCCAGGCATGGGCCTGTTTAAACTCTCCCCTCATTCTCAGCGTTTTTGTTGGTTAACAGCAGCTGAGTGGTCACTACAGAGGCTTCATAAATACTAACTCAGTATATTTGTGTTAATGGAGACCCATAACTTGTACATAAGCATAAGCTCAGCATCTGAATTTGAGCATGACTCGCCAGGTGGGTTTCCACATCCTTGTTCTGACCTGTTTTTCAACTTCTGTCCACCTTTCATCTCTATCACGTCACTCTTTCATTTGGGCCCAGCCCTATGCCTGCCCCCCAGCTCTTCCCAGTGTCCCCAACACTTGTTGTGCTGTGCTTATCAATGCATCAGTGGTATAGAGAGGGCAGAGTTTGTATCACATCCAGGCTGTTGGTGTCAGGGATCCAGGCCCCCAGCTTGTAGCTTCTCTGTCCTTACCAGGCAGCTCCACCAGGAATCAAGACTTCCTGGCTGGTGTGGCGCAGTAGATGGAGCATCAGCCTGTGCACCAGAGGCTCCCAGGTACAATGCCTGGTCAAGGGACACGTACTTGGGTTGCAGGGTCAGTTCCCGGCCCCAATTGGGGCGTGTGTTGGGGGGGACAATCAGTCGATGTCTTTCTCTCACATTGATGTTTCTGTCTTTTCCTCTCCCTCCTTTTCTTTCACTCTCTGAAAAAAAAAAAGTCAATGGGAAAAATATTCTCAGGTGAGGATTAACCAACCAAAAAATATAAGCAACAACCCTGGCCGGTTTTTTCAGTGGTTAGAGCATCGGCCTGTGAACTGAAGGGTCCCGGGTTCAGTTTCAGCCAAGGGCATATACTTCAGCTGCAGGCTCAATTTGTGGCCCTGGTTGGGGCAAGTACAAGAGGCAACCAGTCGATGTGTCTCTCTCACATTGGTGTCTCTCTCTCTCTCCCTCCACCTTCCAATCTGAAAAGCAATGGAAAAATATCCTCGGGTGAGGATTTAAAAAAAAATACCAACAAAAAAACACGTCTCCAGTAGTTACATTGCATTTCGGCCAACAGGAAGGAGAAGCACAAGCCCCTCCTTTAAGGGCCCATTCTCCAAGTTGCACATCCCACTTTCACTTGCCCCCTATTGGCCAGGACTAGTCATCTGGTTGGAGGAAGGCTGGGAAATGTGGACTTTATACCCATGTCCACATGCCCAGTGTGACTAGGAGGGGAAGGAGGATTCTGGGTCCAGGAGCAGTCTCTGCCATGGGGGGGTCTGCCCACTCCTAGGGTGCACACAGCTTGCCCAGAAAGCCCCTCTCCATGATGCCCGGGGCAGCCTGGGGTGGAAGGTGTTCTCTGAGGTTCTGTGAACTTTTGATGTGGAGCTTACTCTAACTAGAGTCCACCATGGCCACTAGGGGTTGAGCCGCTCAGAGGCCATCCCTGGGCCAGGCCTCTGTGGGAGCTGCCCCAGCTGCAGAACCTGGTAGGCCCACCAGCAGGGGGTGAAGCGAGCAGAGCCTCTCCCTTTAGCTATAGGCTTCCCAAGTCTGCCCAGCTGCTCTGGAGGCTTTCGGAGCGAGGACCTGGAATGAGCAGTGACCTGCCCTTTGTTTTCAGGAGGATATTGCGAAGCTGTTGCGATATGAGTCCTCGGCACTGCCCTCTGGGCAGCTGACCAGTCTCATGGACTATGCCAGCCGCATGCAGGCCGGCACCCGCAACATCTACTACCTGTGCGCCCCCAACCGGCACCTGGCTGAGCACTCACCCTACTATGAGGCCATGAAGCAGAAAAACACAGAGGTGGGTGAGCAATGGGGTAGGCTGCGACCCTACAGGCTGCTGGGGCCAGGTCAGAGGAGAAGTTGGGGTCTGAGCACCCAAGCTGGGGGTGGGGGGGTGTCTCTATGCTTAGTGGAAAATGGCTGAATGTGCCCAGGACTTGGGAAAGCCAAGCCGTGTGATTTAACATCCAGGGGCACAGAAGTCCAGGCTGAAGTCTGCCATCTAGTTTGTGTGTCTCTATAGAAGGTGACATGGGGCTCTCTCTATAGGTAGAGTCACTGTTTCTACTACTAAGACACAGCCAGAGTCTCCCTTCCCACCCTCTGGTAATCCCAGGAAGTCCCAGCAGCATCCGGTGTGGCTCTTCCAAGGACTCGGGGCCCAGCCTGCAGCCCTCACTCCCATGACCCTCTCTCTGTCATGGGTGGAGTCTTCTCCAAGCCTGATGGAGATGTTCTTGGGCCCTCACAGGTTCTCTTCTGCTATGAGCAGTTTGATGAGCTGACCTTGCTTCACCTTCGTGAGTTTGACAAGAAGAAGCTCATATCTGTGGAAACGGACATTGTTGTCGATCACTACAAGGAGGAGAAGTTTGAGGACAGGTCCCCAGGTTGGTTCTATCCCTTTCTGGGCACAGGTGAGGATGGGACAGTCCAGGGGCTGACACTCTGCTGCAAGTCCTTTTCTGTCCTGCAACATGGGTTTAGAGGGATTTTCTGTCTCTCTTCTGTCTGGCGTTACCAGCCTGCACAAAAGCAGCTGCTAGGAACACCTTAATGATTAACAGAAAATGTTTCCAGTGCCCCTTCCACGTTGGCTTCCTAAGAGAATCCAAAAGTATCTTTTTAAAGCTGTAACAAAACCATATGTGGCTCAGGGCAATCAAAAAAGTCCTTCTGCAGTTCAATTTTATTGGCTGGATTTTAGATGGAAAGCATCTCTGGTGGCTTCTTTGCGCCTGCGCCCAGGGATGGGTGGGGGTGGGGCTCTTGGAAACTTGGCATTGGTTTGTCAACATTTCAGGCCCCTAGTGGGAATGAGGTGGGAATTGTGGAGATGGCCTCTGAACTCACTTCCTTCTCTCCTCAAGCTGATGACCGCCTGTCAGAAAAGGAGATGGAGGACCTGATGGCCTGGATGAGAAATGCACTGGGGCCGCGTGTCACCAATGTGAAGGTGAGGTCTTCTGGAGACAGGCCACTGCTCGGCTCCCATGGCTCGTGACCACACAGCTGGCTAGCCTGCTGGCTCTGAGTTGCTGGCCTGGTGGGACTTCTCCCAGTGGCAGTTGAAGCCGTGACACAAGAGACCAGGCGTGTCACTACTGCTTCTGCATATGAGCTTACATGTGTAGCCACGTGTGCCCAGAGGTGTTGATGGGGCAGGACAGGCAAGCTTGGCTGGCTTGTTTCCTCCACTTTATGGAGCAGGTGGGAACTGAGAGCGTGAAAGGTGAGCAGCCAGTGGCCTGGTGGGCAAGCAGAAGCAGAGAAGAGGGGTCCCCAGCTGGCCACCCCAAAGCCATCCTGGTCTAGGCTCCAGAGGAGCTGTGGTGGCATAGAACACAAGGGGTTCCACCCCAGCCCTTGGGAGCTCAGTCCAGCTGGAGTTCTTACTGGGGGAAGGGCTTCAGAGAGCTAGAAACAGACAGGTCCAGCTCAGAACTACAGAGAAAGCCAGCCACCAGAGAACAGGTATCCAGTGCAGGCTCACTGGCTCAGGAACAGTCCAGGAGTCGACCCAAGGGACGGGCAGGTGCGCAGGGTGTGGATGGCCAAGAGCAGAAGAGGATGGGCTCGGGTGGCTCTGTAGGAGTTAACAGCATGACTCTGAGGGGAAAGGATGGGCACAGATCGAGAGAGCTTCTGGTAGGAAGCATTGAGAACCAAGGCATGCAGCTGGGATTTCTCTGTGCAACTCATGTGTCCACTCTTTACAATAGACTCATTTAAGCCTCAGGTGACTATGAGGGAGGTAGAATTATGCTCATCCTGTGAAGAACAGGAGTACATCCCCAGCTGGGATGTCATGGAGCTGGATTTGAGTTGGAGCTCAGGCTCCTCTCAGTACCATGCTGCCAGGAAGGGTGCGCCATGGGCCCAGCAGGCTTAGAGTCTCTGGTGTGAGTCAGGAGGCCAGAAGCCTGTGGGGTGGGCTAAGGGGAAGGCCTGGTCAGGGAGAGGGGGTTGTGACCATTTGCTGGGAAAAATGTATTCATTATGAAGTCAGGCCATAGGGAGCCACAGAAAGGGGGTAGATGAGAGGGATGTCTGCAGGAAGAAGGCTCCAGTCATCTAGAGGGACAGGATTGAGGGAAGGGACTGCAGACAGACGTGGGGAGAGGCTGGACCTGAGGAAATGGAACCGCCAGGCGTAGGTGGTCTTAGTTGCTGTAGGTCTTGGAAGTGGCCCCTGTGGAGGAGAGAGGTCCAGATAACTAACCAGGTGAGATGGACCTTGGACAGTAATTGACACATTAGAAACTGGTGGCTTTGCGGGGGTAGAAGAAGGGTGCCCCAAGCAGGATGCAGTTCCAGGAACTTGGTGCGGGCAGCAGTTCAGGCTCCCTCCTCATTAGTGGATGATTAGGAGGGAGGTCAAGACTGCCAGCCAGGGTCCCTCACTGCAGGATTCCTCAGCCCAGGGTCCCGCTCATGCCTGATCTCTGGCCTTGCTTACAGGTGACTCTTCGACTGGACACCCACCCTGCCATGGTCACCGTGCTGGAGATGGGGGCTGCCCGGCACTTCCTGCGCATGCAGCAGCTGGCCAAGACCCAGGAGGAGCGCGCTCAGCTCTTACAGCCCACCCTGGAGATCAACCCCAGGTAAGGCTGCCGACCCCTTGGGCCCTCGATGCCCAGGAACAGCATGCTTGCTTCTGACTGCCAGGTACTCCTTTAAAATTGTGTTTTTATTCATAACATACAAGAAAAGTTTATAAAGCTTATAAATATAGTACCCATGTAATTAAACTATTCAATTTAACTTTAAACTATACCCATGTAAGGTAAATAAAAAATGGAACCTTGATGGCCCTTGGATGCTCTCCATTTTCTTACCATTAGAATTTTGTCCCTCTCAGGTAACTGTAGTCCTGACTTTTGTGATAATCATTGCTTTGCTTTATGGTCTGTGCACCCTTAACAAGCTTAGTTTTGCCTGTTTATGTGAAGTCTTACTTTCTTCTCTCAGTGTGAGAGACCTCTGTCCCTGTGGAGGGTGGCTGTGGTTTGTTTTTGTAGCTGAGTAATATTCATGGATTCAATCTGCCTCAGCACAATTAGTTGTTCTGTTTTGACCGACATTCGGGTAGTTTCTGTTTGGAGCTGTTGGGGAACAGGTTGCTCTGAACATTCTTGTCCCTCTCTGACATGTGCGTATATGAGTTTCTCCCAGATGTGTGCCCAGGTGTGAAACTACCATATGCTTAGCTGGGCTACGTCATGCCCAGTTGCTTCCAGCATGCTGGTGCCAGCTCCCCTCAGCAGAGCATGAGAACCCACAGGTCCCTACTTTTACTTAAGGCCTTGGCCTTGGCTTTCTCATGACACATCTTATAAGACTATTTTTTTTCCTGTTGGGTTCTTTTTTAAAAATTGATTTATAGTTTTATTATACACTTTATCAGTTGCAGATCTCTCTTCCCACTCTTTTTAACCTGTATTAAGGTGTCTTTTGATGAGAAGTTCTCAATTTTAATATAATCAAATTCATAAACTTTTGTTAGAGTACCTATCACCAGCCCTATCTGGTTTTCTCAGTGGTTAGAGCGAGGCCTGTGGACTAAAGGGTCCTGGGTTCGATTTTGGCCAAGGGCATGTGCCTCAGTTGCAGGCTCGATCCCTGGCCCTGGTCGGGGCACATGTGGAAGGCAGCCAATCGATATGTCTCTTTCGCATGGATGTTCCTGTCTCTCTCTCCCTCCCTTCCACTCTCTCTGAAGAGCAATGGAAAAAATATCCCCGGGTGAGGATTAAAAAAAAGAAACTTCTCACCAGAACCATGAATGTATTTTGTCCACCTCCCCAGCAACCCACATGGCTTCTCCGTCCCTCGGGTACAGGTCCGTCCGGTCTGTTGGTCTGTCTTGAGCAGTACTGCGCTCCGTTTCCCCCACTCCTCTGCTTTCAGTAAGCGATTGCTCCCTTTGTTTTCCTTCAAGGATGTCTTGGCTACTCTAGGTCCTCACTTGTATATAATTTCAAGAGTTAGTATCTTTATGATCAGTTTTTTCCACCCATGTACACAGTATATATTTACTAGGTCTTATTTAATATCCTTAGGTAACATGTTTTCTGTAGAGTTCCTATACATTTTCTTATAGTTACTCTTTGATGTGTCGTATTTCTTGGATATTTGGAAATTTCATTTTCTAACTATTGAAGACAGGTTTGTTTTTTAAATTGACTTTGTATACAGCAATAATTTTTAAATGAAATTAAACAATTCACCAAAAATGTTAAAGAAATTTAAACAAAATCCGTAATATTATCCCTCACAATCCACTATAGCCGATTTGTTATATTTTCTTTTGGACTTTTATCTCATATTTTGTGGGTTCTTTTATAGTACATGTCAAATTTTTTCATTTATCATTTTATCATAAGTATTTTTCCATGTTGTTTTATAACCATAAATTTTTTCATAAACTACTGGGGAGTAGGGGGAAGTGCCTTTTACATTTTCTGAACCAAATGACTAGACATGGTACTGGGTGAAAGATGTTAAACTGGCTTGTGGCTGGTCATGCAGCATGTCAAACACCTTTCCATAGAGCTGTTCCAGTTTGCGTGATGTGTGTGCCTCCCTCCCCAGGAAGGAATGCGGCTTCCAGCTGAGTCCCTGATGAAGATGGATGCTGATGCCAACTGGACACCCACTCAATTTAACCAGTTCTGGCACAAAAGTAGTTCCATAAGAATGGTGCAGAAGTGCTTGTTTCTGTTGCCAAGAGACTTTTTTTTATGGCTATTTGCTTTTAACACTGGTAGTAAGTTCACATGGCTGAGAATTCAAAAGAATCAAAGTTTATAGTGAAATTTCCCTCCTACCTTTGTACCCAATACAAAGATACTGTGTGTGTGCAGATTCATCTGTGGCTTCCTCTGTTACACAAGCAGTAACTTGCTATACAGGGGCCCTCACCTTGCTTTTTCTTTTTTTTAAAAAAAAGTTTTTGATATTTGAGAGAGGAAGGGAGAGGGGGAGGGAGGGAGACAGATCAGTTGTCTCCTATATGCACCCCGACCAGGGACCAAACCCAAACTAGGCATGCACTCTGACTGGGAATGGGACTGGTGACCTTTCAGTGCATGGCATGATGCTCAACCAACTGAGCCACTTGCTTTTTAAAAAGTGTTCATAAATAGTGCTATGAGGAAAGGGAAGTACTAAGTCTCAGAGCACCATCCATGTTTAATTTTTATAGACTCCAGCTGTTCTCTGTAGCAGTTGGACAAATTTGTTTCCCCAATGCCTTCAGTTTTAGCAATCTTCTCAATTTTTGCCATTCTCATAAGTGAAAAATTATAATTTTGATGTACATTTCTTATGAGTAAGGTCAGACACTATATTTATGGTATTTTTTCCTGTGCAGAAAAAAAATTTCCAATTTTTATGTTGCCAGTTATATAATTTCTTTTTGACTTCTGGGTTTGCGCTTTGCTTGGGAAGGCTTTTCCTTCTGAGATTATAAAACATTTCTTCCGTTTTCTTCTAAATTTTTACATTTAACATTTGATCTTGCTGGAATTTGCTTTGGTCTAAAGAATCGGGTGGGAATCCAACCTTATTGGTTTTTTGGCCAGTTACCCTGTCTTTTCCCTCTTGTGAAATGCTATCTTTAATCAGGTACAAATGAAATTCCCATGTGTGTGTGACTCTATAGATTGTTGACTTTTTTGCACTTAGTTGTTGCCTTTTCATTTTCCAGAACTAAACGGTTTAATTACTGTTATCTGGGACTTTCTCCTCCAGCTTCTGGCTCTTTCCTTCCATATTTACTTTTATTTATGAATTTTATATTAGATTATTTAGGTATAAAATTAAACTTTAAGTATAAAAGAATATACACACATATATTGTATATGTACGGATTAATTTATAGTCTCTTTAAGCACTGACATATATGCCTTTCTAAGTATTTTTTTCCCCTTCAGTGTTTAGTTTATATTAATTTTGGTACTTACTGCATTTTCTAATATCAAAACTCCTGTTTCTCTGGGTATATAATTAATCATATTATCTGTCAAAGATCATTTACATCTTTTTATGTGTTTTATTTTTTTATACTGGACTGTCCTATTACACTTTTTTGAATGTTTTGATAACTCCAATGTCTCAGAAGGTAGAGGCCCTTGTGCTGGGTGCACAGCCTGGCTGAGCTCACTTCTGGGGGTTTCTGTTGTGCAGGCACACGCTGATCAAGAAGCTCAGCCAGCTGAGAGAGAGCGAGCCTGACCTGGCCCAGCTGCTTGTCGAGCAGGTGAGTCTCCTGGAGACTGGCTGAAAGAACAGAGGGCTGCCACCTCTGCCAGCCTGCATTCTGCCTTTGTGGTTGGACAGCTCAGTTTCCTCTAAAACCCAGTTTTTAAGAAAGAGCAGCTCTCTTCCTTTCTTCTCTCTGCATTATAATATCCCCAAGTTGGAGCTAGGACAGGGTCCCCCTCCCATTAACGAGGTTCCACTCTGCTTTTCAGATCTATGAGAACGCCATGATCGCAGCAGGGCTTGTCGATGACCCCCGACCCATGGTGAGCCGCCTGAACAGCCTGCTTGTCAAGGCCCTGGAGCGACACTGATGGTGAAGCACAGCAGCTGTGAGAGCCCCACATCTTCCCTGCAGTGTTAGGGCTCAAGGGGAGGTCACAATGGAACTGTGTGCTTCTGCCGTGGGAAGAGGAGCCGAGAAGGAATGACTGGATGCCACCAATGAGAACACCCCCTTTTGAGCTTTATTTACTTAAATTAAAAGGTATTTCTTAATCTAAATGTTGGACTTTGTGTGCATACTGACAGGGTAAGTTACTCTGGTAACAACTCCATGCTTACGATGAACACAGGTACAGTGAGAAAAAGCCTACTTTCCATCCCCTTCCTCAAGCTGGTCAGAGGGACTGTAGGAAGGGGAGGGTGGGGGCGCAGAGCGGGGGTGCTGGCCCTGTGCTCAGGGGACTCACACTGGTTTCCTAAACCCCATCCCCAGAACCTGAATGTGACAACAGGACCAGCCGCCATCTTCAGTTCTTTGTGCAGGTCCCCAGGAACAGCCACAGGCAAACTACAGAAGCTAGAGGTCTCCAGCCAGGGCCTTGGGACCTGCTCTTGTCAGGCTCTCTTCAGCGTCACCTCCACCGGGTAATGGTCACTGATGGCTTGGGCCTGTGGAGAAACATGCATTGAGCACAGGGTTGCCCATGTGGCAGTACTCCCCGAGGGCCAGGACTTGCACCCAGATACTGCACTGTCACATCTGCTGGGAAGAGGCTCCCAGGGGTGAGGACAAGTGGTTCTTTCAAGTCAATGAAAAAAGCAGTGATTGCTAAAAGTCCCATGGGTCGGGATCTCGCTCCACCCCTGCGTCCTAGGCCCGTTAGAGCTATAGCCTGTAAAGAACAATCACGTACAGTCTGGTTGCTCAGTCCATATGCGGCCTGGAAGTCAAAGGGACCAGCTGAGTCGGGAACGATGGCATGTTGGAGCAGAGCTCCGGCAACCACAATCCTGCAGCGCCAGACATGAAAGTCCTTCAGCCCACTGTCTGGTTCCATGCACTTAAACTTCAGATCCCAGCAGGTCCCCCCAGCTCATCCCAACAAGCCTTCCCCCAACAAGCTGAGGGACCTGAGCACCTCACCCAGCCCAGGCCTTTGCTGTTGCAGCTCCAAATGAACCTGCAGGAGCCAGCTCCTATACATGGCCCTGGGGTGTCCCTGCTCAGGAAAGCCGCCCCCCCCCCCC